AATTGCGTTAAAACGCTTTTTGGAAAGGCATAGTAACGCCTTTTAGAAAGGCGTTATAACGCCTTTTAAAAAGGTGTAATAACGCCCTTTGGAAGGACGTAATAACGCCTGTTGGAAAGGCGTAATAACGTCTTTCGGAAAGGCCTTATTACGCCTTTTGGAAAGGCGTAATTACGCCTTTGGGAAAGGCGTAATAACGCCTTTTTGAATGGAAAGGCGAATAACGCCTTTCCAAAAGTCGTTATAACGCCTTTTTTCGCGTTATTACGCCTTTTCAAAAGGCATTATAACGCCTTTAAATTTTTTTTTCTCTTTAGAGTGATCCTAATAGGCTTTGGTAGAAAAGTATCGTTAACAATCGTTATAATGTACATTCCAAGGAAGACAGTTTAAGGATTTTAAGTTTCATTACTGGGGTACTGCGGGTAATGGAGTTATATAGGAGTTTTATGAAGAGACTTACTTTTACAATTGACGACTGACTTTTACAATTTAAACATAGACCAACTCCAATTACTAAAATGTAAAAGTAAGCCGTCAAATGTAAAAGTAAGTCTCTTCATAAAACTCCTTTATGAAGAGACTTACTTTTATATTCGACAGCTGACTTTTACATTTTAGTGATTGGAGTTGGTCTCTGTTTAAATTGTAGAAGTCAGTCGTCTTTTGTAAAAGTAAGTCTTATCATAAAACTCCAATATACGTAGTTTGCATATGGCAAAAAATAACCATGCTTTTAATCTTAAAAATATAGCATGCAAATGTTAGGTTCAGGGGTTTTTCATTAGTTTATACATGTACATGGCAAAGATTTTGTTTCCAAAAAGCTGTTGTAAAAATACAAATCTAAATTTTACCCAAGAGATTGTACAAAATGTAGATAAATATACATGTAATATAATTCTTACCACAAAAAAAACTAGTTGTAGGAATATCGGGCACAGTCACTGAAAAACAAAATTGAATTTATTATAGTTTTCGGTTTGTTCATATTTTCATTATATATGTTCTGGAAAGAATTCTGTTATTTATTTTCTTTAAATAATTATATTAAATATTACATCTGTCGTATTTTAAGGTGGAAAATACTTAAAAAATTAACTTTTGCAAAAGAATACTAGGATATTTTGTGTGGTATGTAGTAATTTTAAAATAAATTCGTCCAATAATTTTGTTTAAGATTAAAATAGAGAAGCACGTGAGTAATCCAGAGCTACGAATCATATCATTGTTATTTTTTTTCCCAATCTAAGGTGGAAAATACACTGTATATACATGTATGCTTTAAATAATTTCTAATAAAACTAAAACTGGGGACACACCTTTGTTTAAGTAAATGCTTTCGCAGTTTATATGATTATAAATTACGTGTAAGTATTTCCACTAAACTTAAGAAATACTCATAGAATGTAAGAGAAAATTTATATCTTTAATGAAGGTTAACCTACTAAGTACATCCTAAGAAGTTTCTCTTTAATCCTAAACTCGAATTTGCAGAAAAACTTTATATTAAACTAAAATTTAATTTGACCGAAAAATTTGTCTAAAAAGTGGTCGCTGGTACAGCTCTCTTATATTTGTATGCATATGAAGGATGATTAGTTCAAACAATAAAAAAGATTTATTTATTTACATTTACCTGAATATCTGCTCTGTGACTTAAATGTAATATGAAATCCTTGATTGATCACAGAACCATCTGTTATAAAATGAAGCTCGATATTGTTAGAAGAGGTGGAGAACCATCCATCTCCAACAACAGAGCAGTTGCCTCTCAATCTAGAATTGAAAAATATATATATAAGGTATTTGATATAATTTGACGATTAAAGTTTGATAAATAAGAAAAGATTCTAAGAATGTTTATGGAATTCCCTATATTCACATCATCTTAGTGTGAAAAGGTGTAAAAACCTTCTGCGTCCTAAAATTTTAATATACTTGAAACGTGCACGTGGATGTTTGAAATTTTTACCCTGACGTGTTTGTGCATACTTAATCAAAGTACTGAAAGTACTGAAAAGCGGTTAGCATGCTTTCATCGAATATGTACAGTGTACAATAACAAAAAATGCATTGAATGATGATATTAAAGTAGGCATGCATATCTTTTTCCAGTGTCATCAGCGAAGAAGCAGACACACTGAATTTTGTAGTACTTAACTAAATGGTATAACCAATAACATCCCAGACTGATATCACAAATGTTTGTTTCAAAATATCAACCTGAGATTTTCAGTTTGAAAGACAGGAAGTTCAATTTCAAAAATTTCTCCCTAATTGTCTCCATTGGTGGCGTCCAAAAGTGCTCAGAACGAAAAAAAAATTATGTTGATGTTGCAAATTTAATTGGCTTCCATGCTCTATTGATTCTGAAATTAGGTAACTGTAAAGGCTACTATAGCAAACAACTCAAAAATAAAATAAAATGATAATTCAAATTCTTTAGATTAATTGATTTGGAGTACTGCATATAGATCTTTAGCTGGCTAGTCTGAGAAAAACGGATGGACGAGCAGAGAATTAATTAATTTCAGAGAGCTTCAGTTTCGTAGGCTCTTTGCGGGTCAGCAGGTGTGACCTGTCATTGGGGATGCTTCTCACAGGAAGAAAGACAAGTAAACAAGATAATCAAGTTTTAAGAAATGTACATTATTGACTTTTCATACAATTAAATGTTCGAATATGTAAATGGTATATGACAATTATTTAAAACAGAGTCTTGCACGATATGTATAAACGAACATATACTGAGTATTTGGCAAATATTTTTCATGAAATATTGTTAAAAAAAAAAATAAAAAAATAAAAAAATAAAAAAAAAATAAAAAACGTGTGAAAAGGAAAGTTGTTGTTTAATCCATCAATACTAGTATTTTAAAAATTCAAAGGTTCACTAAAAGTCAGTGTATAACAAACAATTTAATTGTCCATTGCAAGAATTACCTAGGTATCATTGTCACTTTCTTCAATATGTCGCATACGCAATACATTGTTGTTTTTTTATACTAAAAACAAGTATGCGAATTTCTATCAATATGTCTGTAAGCATCTGTATTTTAATTTTTTTTTTTTATACTAAAAACAAGTATGCGAATTTCTATCAATATGTCTGTAAGCATCTGTATTTTAATTTTTATTTCTTCTCAAAGGCTCAAAATGATAATTAACAAATTGGACAAATTCAAATTTAAAAAGTATTTTTACAACTTATACCTTGCATAGGAATTTAGCAAACTTTCAAAAATAATCATTCATTAGATATAATTTTCAATTTGTGCTTATCGTCAAGATTTTTCATGCCTCTTTTTTCTGTGCATATTTTATATCGGCTGATTTTTCGAAAAGGATCGAATGCCGATTAAATTTTTTTCTCCAATTTTTTAAAATTAATTTTAGTATTTTCAAACTCCCATTATTTTTTTTAAATAAAAATGTGATCGTTTAAAATCGTTTGTAATAATTAGACTGAGTACAGAATTTATCCCTGGAAACAAAGCTTTTATCATCTTTTAAATAATTTCAATTGAGAAAAAAAAGGAGAAGAAAACAAACGTTTCATTATGGAAGTAATCCATAACTGTACAACTTACAGATGTATTCGGTATTTTTATATAAAGGCTTTCTTCGTGTACTAGTATTACTTAAGTTAATTAAAGGGATGCCTTAATATTTTGGAAAATGAAACTCGATCGAGAGATTCTCCGATGTTTTGCAGTCGGTAATAACCTTCAACCCCTTTAGCCAGTAATTAACCCGTCCTCCCTGTGCCCAGTAGCATAATTCGGTCAAATATTTATTGTTCATGTGCCTTATAATTAATCACAGGCACCTGAATTTTTATCAGTAAGTCTCTAAATTAGCCAAATATCAAAACATTCTACCCCCTCTATATATAAATACACAAGGTGTCCAACGCCATTTTGACCACCTGTTCGATTCAGGCTTCAATTTAACACATAAATCGGAAATGCCTACTGGTTTTCGTGTAGCACTGGGTTCAAATATGATATTTCTCGCTGTACATTTCTTCCTAAAGTTTAAATCTAACGCGTTGATAATGTTATCAGCTAAACTTCATGATGACTTCGAATTTCGTCACAGGGCCCGATCGCCATCAGCTGATGTCACGGAAATTTAATCTCGACACCAAATGCTCCTATACATAAACTTTTTTAATACAACAATTATAAATTTATTTCATTGACAAATTCATTGACAAACAAAATCAGAAAAAATTTTGAAAAAACCGAAAGAATATGTTGTTTTGATAGTCTTGATTTTATTTAACATATGTTATATGTGTTAGAAACAAATCATAGGTACTAGGTAGAGGCTTTGTTGAAGTTTCCGTTGTCGATAGATAGCGCCTTATGGAAGTTTCCGGTGTCGATAAAAATCGGACACATGCCATAAAGCGGTTAGCGAAGCTAACCGCTTAAAAATGAAAACAGTAGAATTTCTTTGTGTAACCGATGATTCAGAAGCATTTGCAATGCAAAAAATTCAACAGACAGAAAGACAAACAGTCATATTTAGATCAGAAAATATATAAAACTTCAGTTGAAAAAACCTAATAAATTTATATTTTATTATACTGAATGTAAACTACTTACTTTGCTATTTGATGTCCAGTATTTCTATCGGTAATTATCAGTCTATCGCAGCATGACTCAGTGGTAAAATCGCGTATGCTCAGAAAAATTTCTTGATCCGTATGGCGAACAATTGTCCATTTACAATCTAGATTACTAGAATAACTTGAAGGGTAGTTTGGACTTGTAATTTGTCCATTATAAGACGTGAAACGCAATCCACAGGGGGATCCTGTAATTATGTAAAAGATTTTATAATATTTTACATGATTTTCATATAATTTTCAAATAAATTGACAATCACAAAAATATCATGTAAGTTACTTTTCCCTGTAAAAAAAAGGTGCATATTCATATTGTCTTTCAAGATGGAATCTTATTATAAGTTTATTTCTGATTCACGTACCTTTTGTAAAGGTAAATGACAATCCACCTATTTGAAAACGAAAACAATTAATTTAAATACAGTGTAATAATTCATTGAAACATTTTAAGTAAATTTCTGTTAATTTCATACATCTGTAATATCATCGTGATTTTTTATTGTCATACCTATAATGATGCAGTAACAAATAATCTGTAAAAGGAAAAAAAGCACTGGGTAAACATTTTTGCGATGTATAATGACAACTTTACCTATCCAAATAATCAAACATTTATTATTTGTTTGTGAAGGTATGGAATTTCTATCCGCTTGGTTTTACATAATTTATAAGCAAACCTTCTATTAACCACTTAAGGGTCATTGATACTCTGAAAAGAGAGATAACTCTTAATTACATAAATGTCTATTATTCCTTTATAAATTTGCCAAGTTGCAATGTCTTTTTTGACCAATTTTGCCCCGCAAACTATGCTATACTGGTCGGTATTTTACTTAAAAAATATATTTCTTTTGGAAAATCGTTAAGGTTCAAGCATTATTTTATATGAGTGAGCAGAGGGTTTATGAACCTTAAACCAGTTACTTCCTAAATCGCATTGTAAGTTATTAAAGGAGCTTTACCTTTAAATTTTTATAACATTATTAAACAAGGTTCTGTCTAATGAAAAGACAATCATCTATTACATGTAAGAAATACAATTTAAAATGTTTTTTTTTTTCATGACACCGTATCGGTAATACAAATAAATTGGTAGAAGAATGGTAAGAAACAAAAAAATTAACATATTACTTTGAATTGCAAGACACAAATTGGCAAATTCTATCTTAAATCAATAATGTATATGAACGAGTATTTATTTTACTGATTTTTAAAATAATTTGAAAGGGTATGCTTACAGACAGTATTGAATGACGCCCCATATCCTCTCAAACTATCAACGAACAAACGAAAAAAATGTTTATCAATTCGTTATCACCTGAAAGCTAGACACTTTAGTTCAATCAAACAAAATACTGTTATCAATATTACATTCAACAGCTTAGATTACATTTGACTGAAGATTAGACATCATAGATATGGAAAAAATACTTCATCCTTATTAAGGATGTAGATGGAAACGTAAAATGAATGTACTGTCAATAAATTTGGAATAAGACGGACACGCCTACTCTATAGCTAGATTCTGTACTGGGCCTGGCCTTCAACTCACACATCATCACCCCGCCACCAAATCTACTGATGCATGAAATGACCCTGATCTCTATCATAATGCTTAAATTGATCCGTTCTCTTAAAACTTAGATTCCTTCGGCAACATGACTTTCATTTGAAATAAATTGTTTTTTCTTTCTTTTTGATTGTACCTACCCACAACGCGTGCACTTCTTAGATTTTATTATTCTGCCTTCTCAATGCTTGGTTTCTCCCCACAAAGCTTAAGGTCATTCCTATACTCCATTTCAAAAACACTATCCATGAATCCCAGGATATTATGTTGGTGTACATTTAAAATCATAATGACATGGATTTTTGTTTTGTTTTGTCTATTTTTTGCAAGTTGTTTTAGTAATAGCTGTATTTGTTCATTATGTATATTTTATTTATATCGTTATAAGGGGCACACTGTATATACTCAAATACAGGGCTGTGTAAATTTTGTACGTTTTGGTTAATTTCAAATTTTTAATGGTATTGAAATATATAAATGACCTTTTACGACTATTAGTTTTATTTTATGTTTTGCAAAAATTAGAGCAGAGTAGATATTTATGATGAAGATAATAAATCATATTGAGAAAAGTCAATTTAAGACAATGTTTTATTAAATCAGTTATATAGCTATTGCACTAACCACATAAATGAAATAAAATTATAGATTTCTGACTCGTATGTAAATTGATCAATTGCATGATGTTTACGTCCCGTCGATACGTTTTACTCATATAGAAACGTCACCATGTTTACATAGGTCACAGGATTGACCACGACAATTTTAATTATTATAAGTAGAAATAAATATAATGGAACATTGCTGTGGTTTTACTTAATGAATGTTGAAATTATGTTTAAATGCTTATGGTTGAATCTTTCTTTGATTATGCATGAATTCGCGATTGCCATTACATTATAAGAAAAAGAAACTTGAATCTGTCCATCTATGTGGGTTGTTTATTCTCTATTGCATCAGTGAAGACTTAAAAAGTGCATTTTACTATCCCCTTGCAATGAAATTGGAGGGGATATACAGTCATATAGTAACGCAATCGGGAGTGAGTGTGTTTATTTGAACACCGTCCTTTGCAAAATGAAAGTGACGTAATTTTTATCGTGATTGACGTTGAATGCCACCTTATAGGTATGCACTTTTCGAGAGGATGCCCCTTCTTCTATATTTATTCAAGTTATTAACAAAATGATAATTTGCCAGATTCCATCAAGACTGCAACATTTTCAAATACCGCATAGGTAGAGTTTTCAGCGAGAATTTAATTTTAGTATTATTAGTGAGGGTGCTAAGATCGCTAAAATTGCTTGGAAGTTGATATACCTCCTAAAGTGAACATTTCAAGTTCGCTAAAATTAAAATACCAATTTTTAAGGTCAAATCGCTAAATTTGCTTCTCGCTAAAATTTCATTTATACGGTAGCTTACACAGCATAATACTTGATTTGAATATATTTTATATTGATAAAATCAAAAGGATGGGAAACAAGTTCTGTACAACATACTAAGTTCAATCCAATGACCGAGTGTCACTTTATTAAAAATTGACACAAAAGTTATAAATAAAACTACTAAATCGTCAATTTGTCATCGTATCAAATAAAGATGGTCTTTTTACACTCAACATTTCATTTTCTTGTTACTTCTGTAAAATTACATTTCATAATTGTTCATTTTTCACAGATAAACTTTGACTCGTACGAACAAGGACAATCGATCCACTTGAGTTCTAATCTCAGCAATAAACAGTTTTCTCTCTGCTTTCCGTTTGGTTCACCGAGATATAAATTCCAGTCCGTGTAAATCATTCTACTGTTAGAATGGTGCCAGTACCATGTGCCCTCTGACCCTTCATCTGACCCTTCAGTCCACCAATCGTTAACTAAGGAGTTAAACAGTTATTCATGTATGTACGTATTTTTACACTGTATATGAATTTCATACATAATTTGAAGTGTGCATACTCTACACAATTAAAGATCGGCCTGTCTTTTTTGTGAAGTTTTCTTCATATATGTGTATGTATATCCACTAATTATTTCTTCATTTCTTGTTAAAAATAATAATTGGTAATCAAACAACGGTAAATATTAATTCCTTCATTAAAGAGTGCATTTTAACACCTGTTCAACGTTTCAGCAAATAAAATATATTATCAAATTATTTAGCTAGAAAAGATAATACATATATGTAAACTGTAAGCTAAATGACGTGTTTGCTGAGAAATACGTAACAGTTACTATGTAAATCAATTACATATTAAAAATAATCACCTTCATCTTTATGGTATTTCATTCGATCAAAAATCCAATTGTTTTCTTCTTCGTTGTCTATTGCCACGAGACGTGCATCCACGGATTCACAATACATCTGAATGAAATGTAATGAAAAAATTATAATTATTTTTAAATGGTTACATGCAAAACGAATCCGTGGTACTGAAGCCCGTTGAGGCCAGTTCAGAGAAAGAAATATATTTTATTGCGTTTAATTGCAATAATTATTGCGTTTAATCGCAATAATTATTGCGTTTAATAGCAATACTTATTGCGTTTTAATGCAAAAGATTGCGATTGATATTTTTCATTGCGTTTAAACGCAATAATTTTGCGATTAAACGCAATACTTTTTGCGTTTAAACGCAATAATATTGCGATTAAATGAAATACTTTTGTGATTAAACGTAATAATTTTTTGCGTTTAATTGCAATAATATTGATAATCAGAGATCAATTAGCCAAAGATTAATAATAATTACTATGGTCCGATTTTTTAAAAGAAGAACCGTTTGGTTCTGTGTTTTTTTGTAAAATGTTGCAGTTTTTTGAATATTGAAGTTAAACAATGGCATCCTAACGACCACAGTTTCTTAAACCTATTAGAACCCTACACTTTTAACGAAGCCTTTAATCCATTGCTGCATGACGCATCACAGCTAATTAAGAATGTTTCAGTGGTATTAATAGACATATCAATTTGGTAGTACACATCGATCAATCTGTTTTCATTTGATTTTAATTTTGATTTCATATATTCTATCTTCTTCGTTCTCGTGTTTACTGTATGTGATCAAAGGAAAGGTTGTGATAACACAAAATATACATAATATGTACATGTACATATATATAAGTCTAAACATTTCATCGATTGTTTCCTTAACCCCTTTATGCATGGTTTAAACTTTGTGACCGCAACGTGGATGGGGTGATGGCTTTTCGATCATTTTTCTTTTTCAGTCTTTTATTTCAAAAATCATTTAAAATTGTTTGCATATTTTCAAAGTTTAAAAGTAGAAAAAAAACAACAAGATAGGAATTGTACTTTGTGTTTGTAAGGGAATAAAGATATCTATACATGCTAAAGCTATGTTTCGTTCTTAGGTTGTCTTTCTTTCTACAGACCAACACTTCTTTCTCCTCTGTAAATCCACACCAATGATTTAACCGTTCAGAAAATAATGCTTGTTCAGAAAAATCTGATTCTATAAAGCTAAACAATACTAACACAATCCTCTCAATTATTTACTGTACAAGACAGAAAGAAGAAACAAGAGACCCATGGGCCACATCGCTCACCTGAGCACTGTAACTTCGAAAAAAGCAGAAATCATATCATTGAAAAGTTAAAACCCAAAAGTGGTCCCAACCAATCCTTATCCTGATCAGTCATTGTGGCCCCGCCCTACCCCCGGGGGTCATGATTTGAACAAACTTGAATCTACACTAATTGAGGATGCTTTTATATAAGTTTCATCTTTCCTGGCAGAGTGGTTCTTGAGAGAGAAGATTTTTATCGAATTTTCATAAATACATGTATTTCTATGTTAAACTCTGATCGGCCATTGTGGCCCACCCTATCCCCAAGGGTCCTGATTTGAACAAACTTGAATCTACACTGCCTGAGGATGCTTCCCTATAAGTTTCATTTTTCCTGGCAGAGAGGTTCTTGATAAGATTTTTAAAGAATTTACCTATATGTTTCTATGCTAAACTTTGAGCGGCCATTGTGGCCCCGTCCTATCCCCGGGGGTCATGATTTGAACAAACTTGAATCTACACTACCTGAAGATCCTTTCATATAAGTTTCATCTTTCCTGGCAGAGTGGTTCTTGAGAAGAAGATTTTTAAAGAATTTTCCTATATATTTCTATGTAGAACTTTGATCGGCCATTGTGGCCCCACCCTACCCCCGGGGGTCATGATTTGAACAAACTTGAATCTACACTACCCGAGGATGCTTTCACATGAGTTTCATCTTTCCTGGCACAGTGGTTCTGGAGAAGAAGATTTTTAAATGATGCCATTAATTTTTCATTTATTCATTATTATCTCCCGTTGGAAGAGGGCTTGGTCCTTTCTTTGAACAAACTTAAATTCCCTTCACCCAAGGATACTTTGTGGCAACTTTGGTTGAAATTGGCCCAGTGGTTCTTGAGAAGAAGATGAAAATGTGAAAAGATTACGACGACGACAACGCCAACGACAAAGACAACAACGACAGACGACGGAGAAATTTTGATCATAAAAGTTCAATTGAGCCTTCGGCTCAGGTGAGCTAAAAAGTATCAGTATGCTTGGGTCCATTGCACTCTTCAAAGATCAATAGAAATGGTTGCTTTTTAATACAAAGATTATTGCGTTTAAATGCAAATAGTATTGCGGTTGAAATGCAAAAAAATTGTTGCGTTTAAACGCAATAATATTTTTGCGTGTAATGTTTACCTTTGCCGTGTTCCAGTCTTTTTTATCTTTAAAGA